ACCAGTTTTTTGTATGTCGTGATTATGGAAATGAGTTAATAGAAGTACAGACCGTTACACAATACTTTGATAATTCAGTAAATGCGTGTTCCAAACTGGCGGTTTCGTAACAACATTATTAAAGTTCATTTCTCAACGGTTCCTTGTGTATTTGGATGTTGAGTTCACACAAGCCTGTTGTTAGATAAATTTTAGAAACGATGTGATTTTCGACGAAAGTATAGGTTAAAAACACAATTTTCTACAAAATACTCTACTCAACTTTGATCTTACTACAAAAGGTGTTCGGATGGAGTACTCTAAAAAACTGCTGATTTTATTCGGCGACTCCACAAAACCCCTTTTTCACATCCAACAATTTATAATACATGTACGAGTCAACAAAAACCCTTGAAACTATATGAGAATATATAAAATTTTATACAGAAAAAGTTTGTCATGTAATGGTTTCTGCGAGGTACGAACATTTAGCCTGACAGCAACAACAGTGACTTATTTACAACATTTATATTTACCTCGTTCATGTCACCAAATGCATATAGAATAATTTTCAGGGATGGAAATCACAAAAATCCAATCTATTTCAAGTTTTGAAGTCCATACCTCAAAGTTGTTTTCCATTTCTCCCACTGAAGCTGAGGCTCATCAACATTTCTGACTCGCTCCAAAAAATGAGGCGTGTTACAAATCACAATCAAGTATGAAATGCAACTTGATTTAATTTCTTCTATATGTTTCTTCGTATTTCTGTTAACAACAGGTCCAAACACAAGATCTGGGTCCGTGAGTGGTCCGAGCAAAAAAAAATCGTACTTAGTGTGGATCGTTTATTTTTTTGACTAGGAAATGTGAGACGTGAAATACAGTGCAGTATGGCTGATACCAAATATTATATTTATAGATAGATATTCCATGTTGTCTTTCTCTTATGAATCAGAATGGTTATTGATATTGGAACAAAACACTTCATATCTTTGATACAGTTTCATACAGAACAGTCCTACTTGCATACATCAACACCGACTTCGGCAATCTGACATGCCATCTGCATGAACTGAAAAAGCTGATTGGATGCTGGAAAGGTCCAGTGTGATGAAGTGAACTAACCCATAGTTCGACAACTTTCATTTTATCTTTACTGGATCTATGCTATTCTCCACCTACTTTTGATAATGAACTCATAAGGAATGTCGATAGAGTGTTTCTTCTGTGGGAGGAATATAAGTCAAGTTTGAGGTTACGTTGGTTGATTACATATCCGTTTGTTGGGTATTCTATTTTAGTGGTTCCCATCAAAAGAAGCGATTGAAAATTTTGCTCCAGTAGTGGCTATTACTCCCGAATTGGTAGACAGATTGGAATGTTCCAATACAAGACGCTAAATTTGATGTGACGGAATTTGAAGTTACTGATTTGTATAGAAATATGATATTTATATCGTTTATCGTAGTACTACTGAATTTTTCAGACGAAATACATGAATAATTTACGACTCTGCGGAACTTTCTATCGCTACTGACCCTTTGCCCAGAACTTCCACAGCCCCAGATCATATGCCTGGACCTGTTGTTGCCCAAAAACCAAAGAAGGGAAACGACTTAAGAAGCAATGACATCAAGTAGAATTCATTCATACTTGATTGTACAGCTTGTAGTGATTTGAAACACCACTATTTACGAACGCTTTATTTTAACAGTGGGCGGATGTAACGTTTTTAGTGAATGAAGAAAGATTTTTGAAATGGCGCCATTTTTTTTGACATTTCAATTTGCTTGTGCAGAAATCACGGTACTTCCAGATCTTCAAGGTCTGATAGTAGTATGATTATAATTAATAAGGCTCAAATGAAGTGCATCGTCGATTATGCATTTTCACTTACTTGAAATCAAAATTCTCAGTCTATCCATAGATTACTAGTAGTATAGTCAAAGTAACCTGTATTGTGAATAGTTAAAGCTCTCGGAATCTCAATAACAAAAAAAAACCAATAAAGAGAAATAATGCCGCTGCCAACTAGACCACGTGGACTGAAGAATTGGCTGTTCGTATTGGATAATTTTCACTAACCGATTGGCTGAAGAGTCATTTAATTAAATTTGAAGTCGCGATTTGAGTGTTGAAGTTCGATATTGGTGCAGTTATAATGACTTGAAATTTTTGTTATCTGTTTAAAATGTGGCGTCCTTGGACAAGTACTGATAGTAATAACGAGTGTGATAACAACGCAGACTTTTTCCTGCGAAAAAGAGATACTATTGAATAAGATTCGTATGCATTTGAATATTGAAACACAGAGAGTATGTTTCAATGTATATAATTATCTACATCTCAAGTTTGGTTTCGAGGGAAACAAACTATTACAAGGAACATCAAATTTGAGCGAAATTTCTTTCTCAACTGTACGTAAAATAGTCAAAAACAAACCTCATGAACGCAAGACGTGATGTGATACGGGATTAACAAAACCAAAAAACAAAAGAGAAATGTTACAAAAGCAATGAGATTCCTACAACTGAAATTATAAGAAAGAAATTGAATACTTCCGGCCATAAAATGAGCTGCTGTGACAAAAGTCTTCAGAATTGGATAAAGAAACTAGGATTGAGATTTAAAATAATGGACAAACGTCAAGCATTTATGGAAAGCAGAAGAATAGTGGAATGGTGTAATAAATACTTAGAAATTAAATATAGACAAGAACAACGGCTAATTTTCAATTTGGACGAGACACTTACGACGAAAGGGTGGACTGACGGTTCGAGAATGTGTACGCCTAACATGCCTGCAAACAAAGGAATGTGACTAATCATTGCGCATTGCGGAGGAAGTAAAGGATGGCTTCCGAATTCTTTGAAATTATGTAGAAAAAAACTTGAGGACTGCAATGTTAACTATCATAAGAACATGGAAGCTAATATTTTTGAGGAATGGTTTGAAACACATTGATCCCAAATTTGGATACGAATAGTGTAATAGTTCTTGACAACGCGTCCTATCATTCTTGACAGCTCATCAAAGTATCGAATAAAAATTCGAGGAAAGATGAAATACAAAGTTTTTTAATGGATAACAATTTGTATTTTGAGAATAAATATACCAAAAACCAACTACTTGAAGTTTTACAGACAAAAACATTTGGAAAAGTGTATGCCCTTGAGAGTATTGCTGAAAAGTATGGACACAACATATTGAGACGTCCCTCCTATTTTTGTGTTTTCAATCCCATCGAGTTGATTTGAGAGTCACATTTGAAACAACGCATTAGGCGTGAAAATAATTTTCCAAAGTTTGATAGGAAGGTAATAGACTATTTGAATAAGAAGTATCTATTATTACCGAAGAGGACTGGCAGAAAAGGATTAAAAAAGCAATTTTAGTTGAAAAAGACTATATGGAGATTGGACACTTCCATATTAATGGTGGAAATAAATTCATTATTGATTTAAATGACGACAGTGATAGTGAAACAGAGAAAATGGAAGAGGAATTATCACTGTGTTATTCATAGTTTTATTTAATTTTCATCAAGTAACGGTTCGGAGTATTCATGATTCTTAATCAAAAGTAGTAACATTTTTAGAAAAATATACTAATATGCTCTCCATAACATATATCTTGAGAAAAACAATCTTCTCAAATAACATTTATACGATAGATTTTAAAGTGGATCATAATATCTTGAGAGAATTCAAACATTTGAAATCTATATAACTATGAGATACATTTGCCAAAACATTGAAGATTTTAGGGAAAACAAGGAAAATAATACCAAAAAAGGATTATCGGAAGTATTGAGAATAAATTGATTCTAGAAGAAACAAAGTCATAACAGTTTTGATGAATTTGAACCGCTCACTTTTCAATCCAATCAAATTGAGATTAACAAGTATTCCCAACCAACAATTGAAATTGTGACATGTGAATTTACTTTTGTAGTGAGAAATACAAACAGAAATTTTCGACATGAAATTGATAATGATTACTGTGGTTCGAGATTCCTTAATTATTTTTCTTTTTTTCATTTTTTCTCAGAATGATTAAGTATTTTTGAGTTTGATGGTTCTATGCCACACAATTTCAATTAGATTTTGTTGTAAAAAAGATTTATTTGTTGGGTTTTGCTTCGAAATTTTGTTTTCATGAAAAAATCCTAATGGGGTGCGACGATACAATTCATGATGAGGTTACCATCGTTTTCACCTGAAAATTAAGGTTAAAGAAGCTGAAATAATCATAATCCTTTCTGAATTGAGATTATACATATTTACATCGAGCATTCATAGAGTTCGATCAGTTCCTATGGAAGCTGTAAATATAGAATTTTTTCAATCCGGTCCTGCCCACACACGTGTACTCATTTAACGATGTTCAACTTTTTTATTTTTCTCACAACTCTACTTCTACTATTGGTATATATTTTTTCCAGAGTCTTTGGAAAATTCGACCCTGTAGCGCCTATTACGCCTTATTACTACTTGAATTTTCAGATTAAACCTGACTATTCTCAACAGTTTCTTTGTTTACTAATTATACTTTCTGTAGGACTGAATACAGGTCAGGGCGTTTGTTCTAAGACTGTAATTTGTACCGAAAAAATATTGAAGGTACTGTTAGACCTGAATTTAGGAGACTGTTCCACTTAATATTAACAAGGTTCAAATCAGTCATACATACGCTACGTTTCTGGAAGCTTTCGAAAACTATAACCAGTAAAAATTTAGCCTTTATAGATGAAAGTTGAAACATACATTGGAAAAAAGCATGACAAACACTGTTTTGTTTAGATTTGATATTTTATTACTTTTACTGTCGTCGAGATGAGTGAAAATAAAAGAGTGCGATTTTTGACCTAAAAAGAAGTGACGGCAAATAATTGCAGTCAACATTAGTAGAAAGCAGTCATTTATAACAGTAAACAAAAAGAGTACCGTTGTGTTGGTCATGAAAACACAGGAGGTGTGATCTGTTGATTATGAAGAAGTAGTAGAAGACAGACCTACCTGAGAGGAAGCTGCCGGCCAGGGAGTCATCTTGAGCTTGCACCCCTAAAAAAGCGAATAGTAGAAGGATATCCCTGGTCCTGCACATCTTTTGCTGTGCCGCGTGAAATGAAAGACGCACTGAACACACACCTAACACAGTCAGCACGAGCTCATCGCTTGACTATTTCATTCATATGCGCAACAAATTAACTGGTGTGCAATACAGAATTACTTCGAGAATATACCGTTGTCTTTCGACTCTACACTAATTGGTTCTTGTTCTTCTTGTTAATATCACTCACTCACTGAGTGTGTATGAGTACCACCAGTGTCGGTTTTGCTGGTACCCGTACGCCGCACAGTTATCTTGAATCATCCAGAACGAGGCCCTGTCCTTGACATGATGGTCATCGACCCCCGCATTACCTCGCGTTTCTTCAGCTCATCCTCACACTCCTACGCACTGCATTCGCTTCTCGGTAAGCAGGTGGTCTTTTCAGCGCGTTCAACATATTGGACCGCCCATGTTACTAAAAATGATAGCTTACCTGGATGTTCATGCACATGAATAACACGAAGGGGGTCGTCTTCAAAAATTCAATGGAGACCGGGAAACAATCCAACTGTTGCAAATAATTTTGATAACCCAAGTAGCAACAAAGTGCATTCTTCGAATATTTGTTGAATGATCTGAGAGTAGATCAAACATTCGCCATCCTTGAAATTCCAATGGTAATCCATTAATTTCAAAACTAAATATCAAAATAAAATATTCGGATATTTTGAGCATGTCATTAGGTATAACTAATAAAGATACCAATGTTTTGGTCCTTTTGTGGAATCTTTCATGTATTTTTTTTCTTTTCATGTTTGTCAGTACATTTTTTTTCAAGGCGAAACACAAGCACTACAGAAAAATCTTTAAGGCGCTCCTAGAGCGGTGCCTGTGCGAAAGTAGCGATTCACATTGGATTTGAATCGCTGGAGTTTAAATCTATTTGGAAAAACGTTCTCAGGAAGATTATTCCACATAAACGCAGTTCTCCAAATGGAAGAGTTCTTAAACAGTAAAGTTCGAGGTTGAACCTCGAAACAATGAGCAGTCACAGTCCGTCGCGTATTTCTGATATGTACCGCTCTTGGTGGAATCAAATGTGCCAAGTTACTTGAACACTTCCTGTGAAAGTATCTATAGAAGAGAGACAAATCTCTAACCTTTCTTCGATGTTCCAGACTATCAAGGTTGCAAGTGATGTTCGCGTCTCCAATCAGGCGCATGGCTCTTTTCTGGATGGAATCCAGCAGCTTCAGGATATGATTGGGGGCGGAGCTCCATACATGAGAACAATACTCCAAAGAGTGTTCCAAACTTTGAGAAACAGCCTTTGCAATTCCAGCTACATGATTGTGCCAAGACATATTGGTATCCATTTTAACCCCCAACAAACTTATCGAAGCAGAAAGCAGAATTGTTTGACCTGACATTGTTATATCTGGTTCGGAAACATTTATCTTTTTGGAGAAAACCGATGCCTGGGTTTTTGTGGCATTAAATTGAACTTGGTTGCTTTCACTCCAATTTGAAAATACTTCTAGATTCTCACTGAAATATTGAACCTCCTGCTGCCAGTGAAGATATGCATCTGCAGCCGATGTCCTGGAATCCAAATGTGATGACGAGACAAGTGTACTGTCATCAACAAAACAATATATTGGATTCTTGTTTTTATCCAATGAGTCGTGTTGTTCCAAATATGGGTGACATACGATAGAAGGTCGCCTGTTGATATTTATTTTCGAAATACATATTGATGATCGCTCAAGATGTTGAAGCCTTCCAAATAATTGAGGACATGATGGTTAACGGATTCCTCCATGATTTTTGATATCACTGATAGCAAAGCGACTGTTTAATAATTATTTGGAAGAGTTTGCTTGTACTTATTGGGAATAGGATGAACACGAGGAGTCTTCCAACAAGAAGGAAAAACTCCTTTTTTGTAAGGCAGATTGAAAAGTCTGCAAAATACTGGTGCGAGTTCATTTTCGTACTTTTTGACTACGATGACATATTCATAGTTTATGTTTTTATATAGATACCAACTTGTTCTCTGTTGAAAATCTTGACAAACAAAATAAATCTTTTCGAGAGCTCGGATAAAACGAAGAAATTGTTTCATTGTGGCAGGTGCTTCTGGAGATATAAGGGCTGGTAGTTCTAGAACATCCCAGAACATTGAGAACATTTCACAATATTCCAAAATATCCTGAACTATTCTGGAATGTAATGGACTGTTCGGTAACATCTCAGATCACTGTGGAACAATCAAAGGAGTTATATGTTGTGGTAGCCCTCTATCCTCCATCCAAGAAGAAGGGACTGAAAGAATTGTTTTTGAAGTCATATGTACTTGAAATTTCACCCTCTACACACTTCTAGAATAGTCCGAAATATTAAGGAATATTCGAGAACATTCCACAATATTATCTGAACATAATGAAATTGCGGAAAATGGCCCCATTTTATTTTATAGTTGTGTATTGTTCGAAAAGAAGGCTGAAAAGTTTCGAAACTTTGAAAGGCTTCAACATCGGAAATGAAAGAGAGCACGGATTTGTTCTTTCGGATTACGTAATCTACACTCCGTATTATGTGAGTACACATATTTTTTTTCAAAATCGGCGCGTGCAGCTTATCCGAAATTTTACCGCGACCTCATCCTTGAAAATGATTCACTACGTGAAAACGCAGTTGCAACATTCTTCATCACACGCTTGAATTCATTTTTCCCAGCGACACTTTGAATTTTGCAATAACTAGTGGAGTATCAATTTGAATTGTATGGCGTGAATGGCAACCGATGTTTTTATTTAATAAGGATTAATATCGTTTCTGTCAAAATAATTCTCCAATTATTACATTAGATTCCCTTTATTGATTCCGTTTTGAGAAATTTCGGCCACATTGTCCCACGTAAATACTATCACACTCTGAACACTCAAGACTATGAACTACAGATTTCTCCATCTTGTCCACTTTTATCTTTGGCAGTGAAAAGGAAATTAGATAACCTGGAATGTGGCCTGCATGCCTCTTCCACATTGTTTTTTCTAAAAAAATCCCGCATTTGTCTTTGACCTTTTATCAAAATATTGTTTGTAAATCATGCCCGAAAGAAAATAACGCCGGCCGCCACTGGTAACCACAAACCAAACGTGACGTAGCTAAGAGCGCGCGAATGTACGACGATTCCCCGCCACTCGAGAATCAGCCAGAATAATGCTACCGACTTACACCAATATTTTACCAAACGTACCTGTTTCACTAGATTTGATTATTTATCTAAAATTTTCATTATCATGAATAGTGTAATTGATTTTGATCAAGTAACGAGTCAGAGTATTCATAATTATCCATATCAGTTATTATTATATATCTTATTCTATTTATATAATCATTCAACGAGATTTACAACTAAATTTGGACGAATATTCATTCCATTACATAACCATAACATAAAATTTATTGATCCTGTCATTCTTCTATGACACTTTCGATGGAAGTCCATCTTCACGTTACATCCAATTCCAGATGTTTATAAACATAAAATTTTTATGTTTGTATATTTTATTACTTTCGACGTAACCTTACATTCCATTATATACGCTGAGAGAGTTATTTCTGTGTAATAAAAGCCTATGTTTTGATACAATTTCCTGATGCAATGAAACGCCCGAATGTCTTTTTCATAAAAAAAATGTGAGACAATTTTGGGGATCCATACCCATATTAGTGTCGTCGACATCCAACATTTCTTGATTATCAGCCAACTGTGCGAAGGACATAAAACAAGTTGAAAATCTTAACTATAATGGCTTTGGGTTTAATTGATGAAAAATAATTTTGGTTGTGGAATTTAATTAGCAGATGTTCTTCCAAAAAATGAGCAAAGCGACAAAACATCGATAGTTTTTTCTCAAACACAAAAATACAGAAAGTTGTCAGTTATATAGGTTAGAAAAATGTTCATCAACTGTACATTATTTTCTATTTAGACCATTGATTTCCTCAAATTATCGTTTTTGATAAAAATACTGAAAAACCTCAAAGATACATCAAATGATGGATATGCGAGAGGGTGAATTTTAAGGGATTTTTGTTTTAAGCAAGTTTTTATTCAAGTGCTCTCAAAAGATAAAAATAGCCTTTAGGTTGAATCAATTCCACCAATTTAGTACTTTATACAATTCACATGATATAAAACCAAGTTGCGAAATTTACCAATTTCATAAAAATTTAAAAATTATCTTAGAACTACCAATTGGTGATGCACTGATTGGAACCTTTGGTATAGTATTATATATTACTAGAGTTTTTTTCCCAACAACAAACCGTGTTATTTCAACACTTCGATCACCAAGTGATCAGCTTCAAGAGGAAGATCAAACTGATCTTGCTCTTGAAGGACTATTTGCAATGTGGTGGTTGAATTTGAGTCCATTGGTTCAGTAAACAATCGATCAACACGTGTACGTCGAAGAAACTCAAGATCTGCGGAAAACATCGCCGCTGTTTGTGAGAATGTACAGGAGATTCCGAGGCAGTCAATTTCACGTCGCTCGAGAGGACTCGGCCTTTCGTAGACACAACTTGACGAATTTTGCATCATTACTTGGGACTGCACCTGTACAGAATTCTACTGTACTGTCTACTGACCTAGGAAGTGCCCATTAGGGGTTACGCCAGAGACATGGAAAAGTAGGTCTCCCAATAGGTTTACCAAACGAATAAATTTTTTTGATGATATATCACACACACTTTGTTTCATTTATATTCGAAGATAGAAAGCGCCAATTGAAAGACCATATATGAATAGGTTAGTATTGAAATTGAATCAAATATCTCTTGATGACGATGAAAGTGTGTCTTTCATCAGTTCGGACTTCCATTGTCTAATATAATATAAATTNTTTTAGAATTTTTTCAGCTTTTATTAATATTTCAATTTCTATTTGTTTGGTTGTTGTTGTATGTCATTTCTTTGTCATTTCAGTTTTTTGTTTATTAAAATTGTTATTTTCGGTTAATCTCTTTGATTTTTTTTCAGGGTTATCAAATCAATTCTCATTATATCAGACAATGGAAGTCCGAACTGATGCAATACACCACGAAACATTGTCAACCACCTTCAAACAAAGTGTGTCTGTTTTGAATGATATTGCTGTTTGGTTTTCAAGTAGAATGCCAATGATAAAATAGAATCACAATATAAAATTGGTTGTTGTATTTAAAGGCGACAGATTTGGATAGCTTTTGTTGAATCAAAGTCTCTTGCTTTTTTGCGGTAAGGTCTCCAATGTATGTCTCCATATAGATTAAAATGAATTCGACGAATATTTCAACTCAATGGGTGAAGGCTATTAGAGCCAGAACTTCCAGAGTTGGTGAAATTATATTGCCAAATGTCATGTATGTGACCGTATCAAGTTGCTTGGTTGGATCACGTTGGAACATATCGTGCAAATCAGAATATGATCTGAGTTTCCGAAAATTACCTACACTTTCAATTCCATCCTAGCGGCCAGGATCATTCGCCAGGGAACATCAAATGTGCTAGAAACTGAATTGAATGGTGTTTGGCCACTTCAACGTCTTATCAAATGTTTTGATGAATGAGTACAAATGAGACTTTCTGGCATACGTGCTGGCATTTTTCTGTTTCTTCCTCAATAATATTGTAATCTGGAAGATATTTGGTGACTATTCATCGAAGAAATTCTTGAATGGACAGTGGCAAAGTACAGTGAAAGCGCATTTCACTGTTGATATTTTCTGGGTAACGGTATCTTGCTTACAATCGTTCACCCTGTTTATATGAAGCCGATGATAAATTTATTTTCTGTGTTATCTTTCGTTATACTTCTGTTTCCCTGATATATTATTTCTGTTTATAAGTAATAAGATGAATGAATACCGGGTACGTTTGGGGATGAAAACCATCAATCAAATCGTAATTTTTCACCAGCAGCGTGTTTCTTCTGTGAACGATATTTTCACAGACACCTTCACAATAATTTTCTCTGTCATTAAATCTTCACTCCAACATATATAATCGTATTTTGGGTGTCACTTTTCCTGTAAGGATATTAGATGGGATTTCTTTCATAATGAAGATACATCTCCTAATGGATTGGTGGAAAAGATATCGATTGAATTTGATAAGAGACGAAGACAGATTAATTTTTTGTATTATGTAAAAAGCTTCATGGATTTTTCTGTCAATGTCAACTATTTGAAATCGTTTAAGATGAAAACTGTGAATTTATGGACTATTTAGGTGAAAAAGAACTCCAGAAAAACACAAGTTTTATTACTTCTGTGGAAGAATATTTTGATGATCCTTCTAGAGCAAAAATTGGAGCCTAACCCATATAATTTTCCATTATGTTCGACTTTATGACAAATAGCTTGAATACACTATAAAGCTTGGGGTGTATAAGGGAGTTGGAAAACTCCGTGTAGAGTATAGATAGGTTTATATCTGCTAGCAACTGGATATTGCAATGTAAATTCCCAAAGCTCGATATTTATAGCTTCCGATAAGGGAATGGTAGGCATTTACCTTCTCTCCTCGGAAAAGCTAAGGTAGGTGTTAAAATGGCTATATCGGCCACTCAAAAAATTGTTCACTAGTATTTTGGAGTTGAACTTTTACAAAAAAAATATGATTGAACTGACCGATACCTGATGAAAATCCATTATAACGTAATAAAAAAACACTTCAATATGTGATTTCTATTTAAAAAATGCTATTGTATAGCGAAACACGTGTAGCGGTTTTCTAAATTTTCAAGTGGATATCTCACACTGAAGTTTTTTTGATACGTTTGAATTTTATTTGTAATTGCTTTGTTGATCATTTTCTTGGGGTCTATAGAAAGTTATTGAATAATTAAGTTATGTCTAAAATACTGATTAGTCCTAGTGATGAGTCAAATTTATTTTTGATATCATGAGTCAAACCCATCAATGGACAAAGAAGGTTGATACCAGGTTGATACAGTTGAAATTAATTCGAATAGTGGACAATCTAAATTATATCAAATATTAAAAAACTTCATATATATTTTTTATTTGTTGTTAAGTTTTAATTTTCATTTCACGTTTCTATTGCTTAATATAAATGATATTTCAGCTATTCATTCTAATTTTTAATTATTATGTTTCCCTTGAATTTTTTTGACCTCGTATAATTTCTTAATCCTTTTATTCCAACTGCCACAAACTCTTATGTCAATTTCTTGAGTGAAGTTGGGTACTTCTAGTCAGTTTATTGATACTAAAAAGGTTTCATGCAACACTTCATTCCATCACCAAAAATACGTTGAATAATTTCCACTCACCCTGTATTCCACTAGATCGGGGTTTTTGAACGGTGACCGACATCTGCTGTAGTTGGATTTTGTTCCAAACGGAAACCTTGAGCGCGTCACTTATGAGTTCTTGGTTCTTGCTTGTTAATTTCAAAAGGACAACTGAGTTTTAATTGTCCTATTTCGGTTTAGATAGGGCCATTAACAATTACCAAATTTTTGTATTGGACGTCCCTCACTAATGAAACTGGAATGAGTAGCAGGATCGACACAGGTTTGGTGTGATCTGATATACTGAAATAGGGTTTCATGGAACTCCACTTCCGTGTCGCTGAAAATTGAAACACCCAGGATAGCCTTTGAATGAGTTCAGTAAATCAACTTTAAATTTTATTATATTGTAAATTACATTCTACACATTTCAAATTGAGAATCGATATAGTTAACATATTTCTGGAAACATTTAGTGTAGTTACCCACCTGAAACTGAAAACAGCAGTGTCTGTTAATAGTTTCATTTCACATGGACATGAAACAACGAGATGGACAATTACAGTACTCAATTCAATATGCGGATTGATAAGATTCCAGCTAATTGCTATATTACATCTAATCATAACAAATGATATGGTCGTCTTAGATTACCAAAAACAGGTACAAACTATCTTTCAGTCCTTGAAACACCTACATGATGGCTCAGAGACAGAATATGAATAAGGTTTGCATGATTACTTGAAGACCTATCCCACTGAAGACGAATATAGTGATCAAGATAAAATAATACAGGATTACCACGTGAGCAGAAATCAGGGTGTCTGAAAGTCTATCGAATCGCATACTAGAATAAGAGGAAATGTCTGTGAAACATGGAAGAAATATTCAAATAAAATAGCTCATTTATCCATTCAAACTGTCCATGAAATTCACTCACACCCCTGTTTTGAAGCGAAGGATCAACGACTCAGTCGCAATGCATTACTGCCAACCACCGTTGAAGAAGCCTATGTCGCAGTTTTTGGCGAAACGTTTGCAGTTGATCTCTCAACGGCTACTTAGTCCGGACAACCAAAGTTCCTATTTTAAAGCGTGAAAGCTGAAAACTTCAGCTAATCAATATCCGATAGTTATTTTTGGATATAAAAACTGTGAATTGAAATGAAGTCAGGTCATATTCCACTGCAAAGTATGTCGAAATTTCCGGCGGTTGAAGTGTTCATACGGGGGAATTAAAAAAAGTAAACTAGTTGAACAAATTCGTGGCCGCTAATTTTGCTGTGTTTTTTAATTTTTATTATCAATTGTGAAACAATCAAAATCAATTTTATCGAAAGAAAAGTAAAAATATATTTTCATTGCAATCCATAAGTTTTTTTCTGAATGAATAAGGGTGGTACTGGTATTAATACAATGGGTTAACATTTATTTTGAATAGTTTTTGAAAATTCAACTCCATTCTGCTTTGTGGTATAATGTTTTCGTTATATGAAATGGGTATGTTTGGTCCTCCTGGAGAGGTCTATAGAAATTAGTGGAAGAAACAGAGAAAGTCAAACTTTGAAGAATGAAATTGAATTGTTAAGGTTGCCATATAGCAAACAATCAACTGAACAATTATTTTTACAAATATAATACACTTATTGCGTCAAACGCATTTATTAACAAAGGAAAACACATCCTATTATCACATATCGTCACTTCAGTTCTGTCACTTAAATTATCACCAACTCAATGTCTTTTAACGAGTTTTCAAAATCACGAATCATTTTTTGTCTACCCGGTGAATCTGATAATATGAATGTCTCAACATCAAAAACAAACTTCCTCTATTCTTGATCAGAAATTTCACATATATTGTTCAAATTAAATGGTATGTACATTTTTACCCTTAAGAAGTAACATCTATCAAAAAATGAAGTATTCAATATTTGATAAATGGTTTTATGAATACCCATTACCCAAATTTGAGTGAAAGTATCGATGTAACCCTGACTTGAAATACCATATTCTACTTAAAACTGGATTGTATATTTAAACGATAACACTATAACGAAACTTTTCTGTAACCAGCCGTTGCGTTGGTTACAGTTATTTACTTCTTATTTACAAAACTGTTCTGGAAAGATAGCTACCTCGAAGTTACTCTTCTTGGGTCGAAGTTACTGAAGAAACAAGAGTTATAAAGATAGGAAATTATAATGAGAGCTAAAATATTCAATGAACTATTGGATAACCCTGCTGATCCGGTCTGCATTGCAGCTGGCCTTTCTCCTGAAAAGAAACAAGATTTAGTTTTTGCATGATTTGAAGACACTACTTTCATTGATGTTCACGATCCTTATAATTATTTCTTATCGGAGGAACTCGATATAACTTTTTTTTTCAATGAGTACAGATGCTTTTCCAAAATTTAGACAAACCCATTTTCGAAATTGGCCTGAAGTTATCACAGGAATCAAATAAGACGAATGTACCGAGGAGAGATATATTGTTAGAGTGTTTCATTTATATCTTCTGATATCATATAGAGACAAAAAATATTTTTATTGGAAGATAAATTATAAGTGAATTAGATTTTTTGCTCAACCATTGTTTTAGGTTTCAACTCGATGTTTTGGTAATGATTTGTTTTGGAAATAATCAGTTTTATGAAATTAAATTTACTATAAGAAAGTTCTTATGAAATGAAGCTATACGATCAAAAGTTTTCGAATTACAGAATTTTGATAAATATAATATGAAATAATTTTGAAACTTGAATGTCGAATTTTGAATATTGAATTTATTGATTTAATATAGAAAATGAATCAAAAGTGGACTATAGGGTTATACAATTATTACCTTTAAGAAGTACTCATTCATTTACAGTACAGTACAGTACAGTACCAGCGTGGTACTGTACTGTACAGAACTGGCTGGTATCTCAATCGCCACAGAAGAAATAAACAGGAGAGGAATTTCTGGCAAAAACATAACAATCTGCACTGACAGCAGACGAGCCCTATTATCCTTGAATAGACAAAGTTTCACTTCAGGATTAGTACTAGAGTGCCACCAAGATTTAGCCAAAGCCTCGGTAGATAATAACTTTATCCTGAGGTGGGTTAATGGGCACGACAGGAGTAAAGGTAATCGCATTGCCGACTTTTTAGCCAAGGAAGCGGCTGGATGTTACGCTAACAACTAATCATGCACAACATGTATACTGAACAATAGTAATTCGTTTTTGTTCGAACCAGTTACTCATTACGAAGTCATTCAGATTGTAACAAATCTCAAATTCTATTGGGGTTGATTGCATATCAACAAAACTCATTAAAAGGCTTGTTCATCAGATTGAGAAACCACTATCATATATCATAAAAATATTTGTCCAAGCGTGCGAAATTCCAGAGGAACTCAAATTCCGGATGATCCTCTTGATATGAATCACGGTACCAAGCGTAAAAAGTAAAACACTGAAAAGGGTCAGGTATAATAGAATAATATTTCATCTGGATAAAAACAAAATAATCAGTGACTCACAATCTGGGTTGATCAACGAAAATAGGTGTGATCAAATTTGTTGATCTTCGATCTAACAAAAGCGTTCGATTGCTTAGATCTTAACCATACAGAAACCAAACTATACTCATTGTACCCATTGGGAATTTGAAAAATGTACTTGGATAGTCATATCTCAGACATAGAAAAATTGTAGTGAGACTTGAGGAAGTTCAATCTGAACCGAGGAGTTTAGGTTTAGGTGTTCCACATGGACCTATATTGGGGCCCTTGGTATTCCTGATGCATGAATAAATGCATACTAATTGCTTAGTATCATATGTGAATAATGTGTCAGTGACTAACAGCATCGAAGTAGAATCAAATGAATAAATAATTGAGCTCTATAGAAGATTCAGTGACTGGTGTATTGCTAACAGATTGGCAGTGAACAACAAAAACTGCAGTTTCATGCAATACTCTATTGAGAATAATAATAGGACACCAAAAATCAAAATAATTGATGAAAATTTGATTGCAAGAGACACCACGAAATTTTTGAGAATCCATCTATTCTAAATTGAATAAATCATGCAAAAAGTGAATTGTGATTTCTACATATTTGCAGATGAAAAATATCTTTGACAGTCATCAACTGATTATTATATATTATGTCCTCGTATATCCCCACCTTGAATATAACATAGTTATCTGGGGCAGTGCAGTTTAAAATATTCCTCATGGTTCAAGCATCTATCAAAAGGGAATAAGTTAATTCAACCCTAGCAGACGCAATGAGCCAAGAATGGCAGCTTTCTGCATTTGTCCGACTAAGATTTCTGCCTCAGTGCGGCAAGCCGGCATGATATCTTTCTCGATTTTGGTCTCAACGATTCAGCCTATAGATCAGATTTAACGGGTGGATATTTTTCTCATAAGTGCTTGAACAACTATATTGAAAACTTATTGCGAATATATGTTTTAGGTACATTTTGTTCAATTTCATCATCAATAATAAAACCAGAAGAGTGATTCGAGAAAATACTAAAACAAGTTTTCGAAGTTGTACGAATTTTCAATAGAATCTCATTTCTTTCGAAAGATCTACGCAACCAATAAATGAAAAAAAAAATTCAATGGTTCAAAAGGGTTGTTAGGGCTAGAATGACAGCTATCAATTAATAATTCTCCTTTCTGTATAGTTGTCGCGAACACACCCGTTAATGGAACACAAGTTGCGCAACAAAGAACAATCAGAGGCAACAATGAACTGAATAAATGAAAAGGAATGTGCCAGTGGTAAAACGGCAGTGCCGTTGAATAGAATATTGTGATTTGCTATTAAAAGAAAATCGATAACAACATGCTATGTGACTTTCCGGCTGGATTCACAATTTGAAACAGACTATATACTGAAACTTTTCTGAATGAAAGACATTTGATATTTTCTGGGTAACGGTATNTGCGAATAGTCCTGTTGGTAGGACGATTATGGCGACCGTGAAATTAGCGAAGCGCGCGGTACATTGTCCGAAGAGAACACCCATTCCAATAAAACAATGTTAGTATTTGCACGTGTTGTTGAATGCTATATCAGTGCATGGTGATTTGGCGAAGAGATGACAACTAATTTGACAGATGTAGCTTAGACAAGATGGCCGTCATCAATTATCAAAGTTCGGAAGTCCATATTGGAAGACCCTATTCATTCATGGACACTGGTAAAATTAATAACATGCAACATAACTGTCTAAGATTGGTCAATAACAAGGCATCAAATGTTGCTTTGATAGGAAATAAACTAATTTGTTCCAAGCATCAGACGTGAGTCGTTCAAACCATTTTAGAATTCTTCATCCACCCTTATTACACCCTTACAAAATGAAAGTGATTCATGAATTGAATGAACATGACTTCGACACACTTTCATTTTCAATGGAAGATAGCAAAACTGTGTTTATTCCGAAGATACTTCAATCAAGGTATAATTTAACTCTTAATCCCATAACATTTAGGGATTGGATCGAAGAATCCGAGCGATTTTTGAAGTGATAACTTCTTATGGGAGTGTTAACCGCCTCATTACCTAACGCGTTAAATCGCCAGTCTGTCTGGCTTCCCTTTCTCTCACGCATACTTCAGTGGAAGGCAGGATCCTTCTCTCTCGTCGGAAAGACGCTCAGTGTTTAGTCTGCGTTAGACATATACTGTCGACAGTATTATAAAAAATTAACCAGCAAGCACATTATATTCCATTGTTATGTGAAACGTGGCTTAAAAATGATCATACTAACTTTGTGTATGCACATTATCAGTATCATTATTTATTACTATAAAAGTAACAATTGGCTTATGTTAGCTATAATATATGTACATACACAAAATGATCAATAAAATATTTTATCAAGTAATAACCGTTCCTCACATCAGCATATCAATATTCATAAAATATAAGTAGTAACCAAAGCTTCTATCAAGTTGAACAATGTCAGTATTAAATAGTTCATCTCAGATTAGTTTAAGTTCGGGCGTCCCGAGACGCACACGTTTTTTTCGACGTCGACTATGGGAAATCGACCTTGTTTCGTTTTCTTTGATGACGTAATCTATGAAGAAATACAAATGTGAATGATAGTTACGATATATTGTAGGATTAGCAAAAATCGTTTTTTGGATATATTCATTCATAAATACATTTTTTCTTCTTATATTCTAAGCGAACCAAGTTCTTCGGAAAGAAATTTGCTGATTATACTGATTCACCAATTGAATCAAAGGATTTTTTTAAAAGCAGAAAAAACCGCGTACCCACCATAGCAATAAAAAACGAATTTTCTGTATGCACAAATGTCAGTAGCTAATATTGATGTTGGTTTAAAGTAAGGTGTTGGTGTTGAAAACTGTCACAGCGCGTTTTGATTGATTTTGAAGTGTTATTGAAGTTATTTTGGTAGTCCGCTGTTTTTCTGAATATCAGTAAATATGGTAAATTATACGAATGCGGAAATGGCGCAAATGCATTACGTATATGGCCTTGCCGATGGTAATGCAACAGAAGCCAGGCGCATTTATCAGGAAAGATATCCTAATCGTGCCTTACCAGATAGCCGAACCTTTTCAAATATTCATCGTCGACTTGGGGAAACTGGTAGTTTCAAGAAAGGGACTCCGGAAGGTAGACCTCGTGTAGTAAGAACTCCTGAAATTGAGGAAGCGGTGCTGCAAGAAATTGAGGAACATCC